TTGAGATAGTAGACTTGTTGACACATGAAAAGCACATACCTTTCATATTCCAGAGTCCACTAATAAAGTTTTATTAGAGCACAGCCTCACTCATCTATTTATGTTTATGCTTGGTGTTGGTTTCCTTGACAGAGCAATCTAGCTGTTGTTACAAGGATTTGTATGACCTGCCAAGTCTAAAGTATTTGCTACCTGGTCATTTGCAGAGAATGACTGTGGACTCCTAGGCTCTCACTTTGTCAGCTTGCAGCATTTGGCACCCACTGGTCCCTTCAAACTACACCACCAGGTTCCAAATCCATCTTCTCTGGGATTCTATAGAAAAATGTCCCTTGCCTGATGGCTTGATAAACAGATAAGACTACAACGTATCTTCCCCACACATTCAGTGATGGCCCCTGGAATTCCTGAACCACACCCTGACCTGTAACTCCCATACACTCTGCCAGCTTTTATGTCAACTTGACACAAACTAGAATTATCTGAAAGGAGGGAACTTCAGCTGAGAAAAGGCCTCCATAAGATCTGGCTATAAGACATTCTCTTAATTAGTGACTGGGGTGGGGGGCAGTCTCCATGGCCTCTGCATCAACACCTGCCTCCATGTTCCTGCCTGCTTGAGTTCTTGCCCTCAATGCTTTTGATGGAACTTCAAGAGAAATAAACCCTTTCCTTCCCAACTTGCTTTTTGGCCATGGTGCTTATTGCAGCATTATACAACCTAACTAAGACAACAGTCCTTTCTTGTGTGGGCTACTAGTCAGCAATGGTTTCCTTTCTGCTAATGCTTGAATGGCAGTAATTACAGATGGACCACATCATCCAATATTTGGTAGTTGTTATGGTATGTTTAAAGGTTAATTTTAAAGGGCATTTCTTAATATTATATCTTAAATATTGTAAGATATATCAAATATACCTGTTTTTAAAGTCCATGTTTTTAACCAGGTGGTGGTGGTGGCACATACCTTTGATCCCAGCACAAGAGGCAGAGGCAGGTGGATCTTTGTAGGTTCCAGGCCTGCCTGGGCTACAGAGTGAGTTCTAGGACAGTCAGGATTGTTACACAGAGAAACCCTGTCTCAGAGACAGAGACAGAAAGAGACAGAGAGAGAAAGGGAAAAAAATCCATGCTTTTTATAGTTGACCAAATGACACAGTAGATAAAAAATCACATGGTCTTTGTTGCCTCTCCACTCAAAATCTGCACTTCTACTAGGTTGTTCAGGGTCTCTGGTTGTTAAAGCACCCCTGTGACTCAGGCGACAGGGGACAAGACAGCCCTTTGGTGGGGAGCTGTTAACTAACATGGGCTTTAGAGTCTGTGGAGTGAACATCCCACTTGTCTTCAGCATGGATACCCAGTATTCTAGGGGAATACTCTCCAACTTTACTAGCTTGTTATCTAACACTGAAGAGCTGAAAACATCACAAAGCTAGGCATGGTGATGCACATCTATAACCGGTACTCAGGAAGTCAGATTTCAACCTATTAATTATTCAGTTTACCCAGTTAAAGGGCCAGTCAGTTCCCCATTGAGGAGATACCAACTGTGGAGCCAGTACCAACTCAGACATCTACAACACAACTCCTACTTCTAAGGTTCAGGGATCATTGTGGAACAGAGGGAGGAAAACCTGCAAAGGCAAGAGGGCCAGGGAGTTTGCTATGAAATCATGTCTCTTGGAAATGTCAGAAACTACATCCATGAAGTCTTACCACAATGGTTGCCTAAGCATGACATAAACAAGAACGACACCAGTGTGTTGTGAGTAGGTTTTTCCGGCAGCCTGGAGCCACCACCGCGCCAGCCCCAAATAACACACTGAGACATTGTATTAGATATAAATGCTGTAGGCCAGTTACTTGTTTCTTATCGGTTAGCTCTCTGTTAAATATTAACCCATTTCTATTAATCTAAGTATTTCTACGTGTCTCATCTTACCGGAGAGAGGGCATCTGCTCTCTCCGGCTTCCATCTTGGAACTCCTCCCTACTACTTCCTCTCTCCTCCTTGTCTCCTTGTCCTGCCTATCTTGCTTTCCTATTGGCCAACAGTGCTTTTATTCATTAACCAATAAGAGAAACATATTTACAGAATGACATCTCTCATCATCTCCTCTTTTCTGTCTAAAATAAAACGATGGGTTGTAACCTTAGCACAGCAAAATATATAACAAAACAGTTTTCAAATAAGAACCACAGTTAGCAATATTTAGTCCATTAACATTTAGCAATATTTAAAGAAAATATTTTGTCATCTATCCTATTTTTGTGAGTCTAATGTCCTATATGTGACTTATCTTTATCCTAACTAAGGAAAACTATAACCATAACTATCTGTCTTCAATTCCATCAAAGACCACAGAAGGATAATATATAAACTTTAGAAATGAAAGAGATATCTTGCTACCTGATCAGTTACCTGATGTTCTTCTGTAATGTTCCATCTTCAGCCCAAAGGCCATAGTGTGTCTGGCAGACTCCTCAGCAAAGCAGGAAACTTTAAACTGTCCACCTGTATCGGCAGTTTGTCAGTCACTTTTCTCTGTGTCCTGCAGACTGTCTGGCAGACTCTTCCATGAAGCAGGAACCCTATAGCCACGTCCATCATGTATCAGCAGTCACTTTCCTGGGGTCCTGCATGTCCAGTTTATACAGCATAAAGTCAAACAGTCCAGACAAGAGCAGTATTTTTCCCAAATGGCTAGTCTTGCCATATTGAAAGTAAACTCCATAATGAGTTTCTTCAATGTCCATCTTCCTTTCTGATGCAGGTGGTATTGCCAGGAGCAGTTATGTCTCACTATCAAGAAAATCCCTAAACCATTTAAAATGCCATATTCTGTAGGTCTTTGAAAGGTTTGAAGAATGCCTATTCATCTCAAATACATCTCTGTATATCTAGAAACCCTAACTAACTTAACTCTAAGTTTTCACTATCATAGGTAATTATTTATAATCTGTGTTATACATTACATTCTAAATGAGCTATATAAACACAATACCTAAACAAGAGAAATGTATATATCACAAGATTGACCTTAAATTGTTATCAATAAATGAAAATCCATTCCAAAACAAAGTACTCATATCTATACCATAATTCCCTTTTTACCTTTAAAAAATTTGGTTGTGGTCATTAACCGTTTATAACCAACCCTATATACATGAAAACAAACATAAACTCTATTTGGGAATTTGGGCTTCATTCTTTCCAAACTGCTTACTGCTGGTAGGGGGCGCTGTCATGGGGATCCTAAGAAGATGCAGAAATCCTGGCTGTAGTCTGCAAGGCTGCCTTGTCCCAACTGTTTTGAATGTTGGATCACCTGGGATGCTGTTTCAGGGGGCTCTTGCTTGGTCAAACCATGTTAGTCTGGAAGGAATCCATAGCTTTTTATTTTCTATGGAAACAAAAATAGAAATCCTTTTCCCCAGTAACCTGTCCTTGGACTTAAATTTTGAAGTCAAAGCATTTTTAAAATATATAAATTGGATTGATCCTGAAGCATCTGTTTTAACAGTTGTTGCTATTTCCTCAGCAGTCAAATAAAGATAACAGAACAGCGTATAGTATCCAAAGTTTCTCTATGCTTTCCATCTTTACGTGGCTTTTTTATTACTCTATTTCTTCTACTTCTGTTTTTTTCATATTTTGAGACAGGTTTCTCTGTGTAACTTTTATCTGTCTTGGAATTCACTCTGCACACCAGGTTTACTTTGAAATCACAGAGATCTGCTTGCCTCTGTCTCCCAAGTGCTGGAATTAAAGGCGTGTGCCACCACACCCAGCTCCTCTCTGTCTTTTTAAAACCATTTTATTCTTTTTCTCTCACAAGCCTATGTATATTTTAAAACACACTGTAAACCTTTAGAGGTTTTTCTTAATTTGTCTTTACTGTAAATCTTGATCTTTTTCTGGCCACAAGTCTTTTATCTGGTAAACATCAACATTGCTAAAATGAAATCCACAGTTGTTTCAGCCGTGGATTATCCAAGATGGTGGCGGATACCACCAGAACTGAGAGCTGTGCTCAGTGCCTTGGTCTGCGCTGCCATTCAGCAGCATGCTGCCAGATTGGAGATGTGGTCACTGCCATTGCCAGCTCTCCTACACAACATTCAGCTGTTAGCAGTGCTTCTTACATGCTGTTTTTTTGTTGATTATGGCAAGCCAGGAAACCTCCCTTAAAGGAGCCGTGCAAATTTCTGCTTGTCTCTAGCAAAACAGAATCCAACTGAGAAAAATGCTGTTACCAAGAAGCCTTGCTTGTCTTTGTTCTTTTGTTTTTAAAACCATTTTTTAAACTTTTGTTAAGTTTTAAGTGGAATTTCTCAGGTCCACGGTAAGCGCCATTATGTTGTGAGTAGTTTCCATCCAGCCTGGTCCCCCAGCTGTGCCAGCCCCAAATAACACACAGAGACATTATGTTAGATATAAAGCTGTAGGCCAGTTACTAGTTTCTTATCGGCTAGCTCTGTCTTAAATATTAACCCATTTCTATTAATCTACGTATTTTCATGTGGTCTTATCTTACCGGAGAGAGGGGCTGGTGTTCTCTCTCCATCCTCCATGTTGACTCCTCCCTACTACTTCCTCTCTCCTCCTAGTCTCCTAGTCCCGTCTATCTTGCTTTCCTATTGGCCAACAGTGCTTTATTCATTAACCAATAAGAGAAACATATTTACAGAATGAGGAAGAAAGAAAAATTCATGAGGCTTTAACCCTACAAAAAATCTACAATCAACTGAGGAATGTAGACATTGGAAGAAATAGTGGGAAGAGCACACCAACTGGTTATCCAATACCAAACAGTCAGCCCTGAAAGCACACCTGCATGTATGTATTTGGGAATGCACAAGCTCACATGCACACACACAATATCATAGAAAAAGAGGCCATGAATGTGAAACAGAGTTGGGGGTGGGCAGGGTATACGGAAGCTTTTGGAAGCATAAGAGGGAATGGGAAATGATGTCATTGTAATTTCAAAAAAATATTTTAGAATGTTTTTATTTAGTTGGCAACAAGTTGGGAGACTTCACAGAAATATCTGTATTTCCTGATTCTCTTTAGAGAAACAGAAAATTTCCCTACGGGGCAACAATCAACTGGAGCTAATAACTATTAAGATAGTTTGTGTGCTTAGTTTGTTGTCCTAGTCATTGCCTTCCACTCTACCAGCTTCATTCACTTAGGTCATCTGCCCATGATTGACCTCTCCTAAACAACTCTTTCACAGGTTCGCTGCTAAGGCACCCAATGTTCTAGTTGACAAAAATCTCTGGGTCCGTGATACATGTTTATCCAACACACTGCCCAAGGGAGCACCCCTGATAGCTCAGCTTTTCTTTCCATTGGATGAAGACAGTCCGGGGCCACAGATTCCATCCTTTGGTTCTCCTTTACTGGTCTAACCTGTCTGGTCCTCTTCCATCTTGGCAAAGAGACCTCTCGAGGAGAGACTTCCAGCAGGCTTTTCCAAATTACAGCCAGAATGACAGTAAATACAACTTCATCCTCCATTAAAAGTCCTGAAGTAGGAGCTGAAGAGACAGCTCAGTGGATAAAGGTCCTGAGTTCAATTCCCAGCAACCACATGGTGCCTCACAACCATCTGTAATGAGATCTGGTGCCCTCTTCTGGCCTGCAGACAGAACACTGTATACATAATAAATCTTTAAAATAAAAAGTCCTGAAGTGGTCAAGTGTCTTCAACTTATTTCACCTGGCTCTTCTACTGTGTCTTCCAAGTGAGAATACTCAGAGCTCTGGAGCCAACCTGCCCAAAAGCATTCACTGTGCTTCTACATACCTGGCCTCATTGCCTCTGCTTTGAACCTGATCTGGCATCTCTAAACCCAGACGATGCAGAGAATGTACAAAGAAATGAGGAAGCTTGCAGGCCAGGAGGAGTTCCTCTGTTCTGGAGCCAAAAGCAGGCAGGATGAGCTGCCTGGCATGCAGGTGAAGGGGGATATGGCGGGCCTTTGCCTGGTGAAGTCCCAGCTTCTTCAGTGTGCCAGCAGGAAGTTTCTACATAAAGCAAAAACAAATCCTAAGAGCACAGCCAGCTACTGCCTGTCTTTAACTAGCAAAGGCACCTATGCTAACCTCTGCAATACCCAGTAACATCTAGCCTGCTACAGGAGCATGCCTGGAAGGGGCTTAGAAACTAGGTAAGAAAAATACAACCATACCAGAGAAACTCTTATTGGTCAATTTTCTGGCCTTTCAAGAGAATGGGTGCTAATATCAACCAATAAAAAAAAAGACTCCCCATAGTTCCTTAGACAGCATGAAAGGCAGCTTTTACCTCATCATAGCCTCCCAAAAATATCAGAAAGGAAACAAATGAACCACTAAAGTTCTGACAGCATATCCCTGGTTCCATGAAGACAGCAACTATTCTGATGCCTCTAAAAGCTGGAAGTATGTTCCCATGTCTGGAGACAATACTTTATCATGACCCATTTCAGGGTTTTAACAAAAGAAAAGAATTAATAAAGTTTACCAAAACATTTTTTAACCTTCTAAATAAATTGAACAATGTAATTTTAGCAGCATCCAAAATCACATATATTTCTATTATTTGTTTTTTTTATATTGCTATTATTAAGACACTTAGATACCACATTTCTTCTTGAGAACCCTCACTCTAGGGTATTTCTTCCTAAACGTGTATCTCTCCCTGTCTCTTGAGGCCCATGTTTGCATCTGTAGCAAAACCATTAATAAACTCCAATGCTGCTTCAAAACAAAGGAAAAAAAGAAGTCCTTGTTGGATATGGTGGCCCACACTTTTAATCCCTCGGAAGTAGAAGCAGGTGGATCTCTGTGAGTTCAAGGCCAGTCTGACCTATACAGGGGTTTCCAGGCCAACCAGCCTATACAGTGAGACCCTGCCTCAAAAAGACCAAGGGGATTCATCACTAACACATTAGAGGACATTCATTTATTATTTTAATAAATAACATCTCTAAAATTAAAAAAAAATAACCTCTGAGGGGATGGGGGGTGGGAGGTGGGATTCTCTCTCTTATCTGAAAGTGTCCCCACAGTGCTGGGCATTTGAACACTTGGTCCACAGTTGGAGGTGCTGTTTGGAGAAGTTTAGGTGGTGTTAGAACAAGTGTGTCACGAGGGCAGGCTTTGGGAGCTTAAGGTTTGCCTTGCTCCCAGTTTGCTCTCTTTCTGATTCATGCTTGCACTTGAGAGGTGAGCTATCAGCACCCAGTGCCTGCCGCCATGCCGGCTGCTTGCTGCCATGCTTCCCCACCATGATGGCCTCTTATCTCTCTGAAACAGTAGCCAAAATCAACGCTTTCATATGAGTTGCCTTGGTCATGGTGTTTATCAAACTAACACAACCTGTATTACCTGAGGGGCCAACCTATTCCAGTCTGAGTACTTGTGATCACCAAGGATTGGGCAATCCAACCCAAAAGACAGGTGAACTCGAAGCTGATGTTTTATTCCTTAGGAGAAAAAGGAAAGAAACTCTTATGAGGAACAATAGAAATGATACTACTGCTGAAATCTTCAAATCATATTAAATCAAAGCACAGTAAACTCGCAGCACCAGATGTATAAGGAATAAGAGTAAACTATAAGCTATGAAGTACCAACCAGCTTAGGAAATAAACACATTTTCTGGACAGTTATTATCATGGCCTTTATGTCTACAATTACCATAACTTTTTGTAATTTTACTATACACTGGCAAACTACAATTTTGCACTTTTTTTTTTTCTCTTTTGTAGTACTGGGGATTGAAGCAAGGGCCTTGTCTCTTGCCAAGCAAGTACTCACTAGTTATATTAAATTGTTTTGTAATTATCAACACTGTCCATCTTTAAAAATTTCTTATCTTCCCAAACTAAAACCCGCCAACTGAAACAATGGCTGCCCAAAGCTCCCCTCTGGCTTCCCTAACCACTAAGTTTTTGGCAAGCATTGTTTTAATCTGTCTATGAATCTAACTACATCATACGAGAACATCATACGAGATAATTCATACAGAATCTATCCATTATATCTAGGTTACTTCACTTAGCATAATGTTTTCAAGGTTCATCTATGTAGCACATGTCAGAATTTCATAGTTCTGCTGAGGCTAAAAATTATATTTTTTTGTACACACATACCCATCCCATGTTATTTCTCCATTCATCCATCCTGGGTTACTGCTATGAACAGAGGATGCAAATGTCTGCCCTTAGTTTTGTTTGTTTGTTTTTAACTAAAGAATAGAATTGATAAATCAAATGGTAACTTTTTTTGAAGAAATGCTGTGTATATTTTTAAATGAAGTTATTTAAGCTGTGTTCTCCTGAAGCTGGACACAAGGACATGTACCTATAATTCCAGTACTTGGACCACAAGTTCCAGGCAGTGTAGGATACACAGTGTATTATTTCATCTATTCTTTTACCCTCTACAATCATCCCTGTAGACACCCTAGTTTCGGGACTGCACCAGAAGCACAGGGTCACACAAGTCAACTGTTCCCACAGCCTGTACACAGTATTGGTGGCTCAGAATAAGGGCAGAATCCAGCACAAGGCCCTGGACAAAGTATGGCAGTCACTTTCCAGTGGAATGGGGCATCCTCACCAGTAACAGGTTGCAGTTCCACGAGGGCACAGGAAAGAGTGCTGCTAAGCACCTGGTACTGAGTTACAGCAACATGGGCATTTCGGCTGGCTCGCATTTTTACCATTTTCCCATTGTCCATACGGTAACTTGGGGACAGTGTCATCTAAAGTCAGAGAAATCAAGATATGATTCCCAAGAAAAGACAGAAACCCATGCCTCAGGGAGGCAGCTCACCTACCTTGTGGTGTTGTTGTTGGCCTTGCACTTCCTTCTCCACGATGGGGATATCAACCACTCCTGCCGAGGGCAAGGGGGCACGCACAGTGATGGCCCTGGGGGTGACACACAGATTGCTGCTTGAGCCACAAAAATCAGGAAGGAGCTGCTGGGAGTTGGGCACTTAAAACCTCACAATGTACTATCTTTACTACCATTTCTGTAGCTTCTGATCTATGTAAAAGAGACTTACAACGGGTCACTGAATTATGTCTGTGATTTCATGACTTCTTTGACTAACAAATAGGTAGAGACAGTCATGTGAGTTTTTACTATATTCATTCTGTCACTCAGTCACGTTTGTTCACTTAGTATGTGATTAAAGCTCACTACTACTTATTTATTTTATTATCTTTTATTGATTCTTTGTGGTTTCCACATCATGCATCCCAATCCTGCCCATCTCCCCTCCCCTCCACCTGCCTTGCAACCTCCCCATCACTATTATATATAATCAAAAGAGAAATGGGATACAAAACCCTATTGATTTTCTTTTAATTGTACACATACATGAAAGATCATTTTTTCCCCCAAAGTATTCTACAATTAATATACATGACTTTAGCTTAGAAGACTTCAGCTCAGAAGTATCTAGCTTTCAGGCTATGCACTAAATTATGAGAATCATATGGAAACCCCAACTATTCTTGTAGCTCTTAAATTTGACTGTATATTCTAGTTATTTATGGGCCTTGTTATACTTTACAGTACAAGGACCAAACTCAGGGCTTCATGCATACTAGATGACCTAGCTCTATCACTAAGCTTTTGAAAATTTTACACAGATGCCAAGAAACCTTGACACAGATGTCAAACCCATAGCCTAGACATGAATAAGAACCCTGTGGGTGGGTCATAGACACAGAGATTCTCAAAAACAAAAAATACTTTTATTTTTCTATGTTTGTATCTGTCATACAAGTACAGGTGCCCAGGGAGGCAGGTAATGGATCCCCTGAAGCTTGAGTTACAAGTGACTGTGAGCTACCAGTTGTGGGTACTGGTGTCCAAACTCAGAATGTCTGGAAGAGTAGCAAGTGGTCTTAATCACTGAGCCATCTCTCTAGACTCCACATCAATTTTCTTTTTGTTTTTTGTTTTCTTTTGATTTTTGAGACAAGGTTTATCTGTGTCCTAGAACTTACTCTGTAGATCAGGCTGGCCTCAAACTCACAGAGATCTGCCTGCTTGTGTCTCCCAAGTTCTGGGCTTAAAGGCATGGGCCACCACCATCCAGCTCTCCATATCAAGTTTTTAAAGGGCTCCCTTGATCACAGTGTTAATGCACAATTTCTAAAACAAAATGGACTATATATTCAAAGCACAGAATAATATTATAAATCAAAAATAAAATGATAATGCATAGGAAATAGACAAAGAGAAATAGTCTATTTTCAGAAAGGGAAATTAAAACAGAAAAGAAACACAAAAACCCTATCTGAGTGGCTTTTTAAACATACTTTGAAATGTGCACTCACCACTGCTTATAAGAGTCAAAACTAACACAGCTTTTTTGGAGAGCAGTTTAGATACTATTAAATTTTAAGCATGAGGCTTGAGAAATAGCTAAGAGGTTAAGAGCAGACTGGGCTTCAAGAAGATATAGGTTCAATTCCTTGTATCTACATGGTGACTAACAACCATCTGTAATTCCGGTTCCAGGGGACCCAATGCCCTCTTCTGGCCTTCACAGACCAAAATCCCCACATACACATGAAATACAAATAAATTTCAAAAAATATACTAAAATAATTTTAACATGCATGCCATTCAAATCTTTCAGTTTTTTTCAAGGGATATACTCTAAAAACATTGCTTCAGAACATGATGTGGTGATTTACATCTGTGATCCCAGCTCTCAGAAGAACAGGAGGATCAGGAGTTCAAGGTCAGCCTGTGCTACATGAGACCCTGTCTCAAGAAACAAACAGTGGCCACTGAGATGTCGTAAAGATGCTGGCTGCTAACCCTGAAAATCTCAGTTTGACCCCTGGCACCCACATAGTGAAAGGAGAGAACTGACATATGTGCATTGGCAAGCATGTGGCCAAATGCATACGAACACATAGAAACACAAACAAATATTTAAAAAAACAATTATGGGTATAGTGGTGTAGGCCTTTGTACCTAGTATTTGGAAAATAGAAACAGATATGTATGTATGATACAGATATATATATATATATATATATATATATGTATGTATGTATATATATATATATATATATATATATATATATATATATATATCTGTGAGTTCAAGGCCATCAGGGTCTATGTAGCACGTTCCAGGCCAGCCTAAGTTACAAATAAGACTTTCTCTCAAAACATATTAAACAAAACCAAACAAACAAAACAAACGGGATTAAGGAGATAGCTAAACTGGCTGCACATGTATGATGATGAGCTTGGAATCCTAGCAGCCACGCTAAGCCCAAGTACAGCACTGCCCATGTGTGACCCCAGTGCACAGGGGAGCAGAGACAGGCAGAGTCTGGGGGCTAGCTTTTTAGCTAGTCTAACCAATCAGTGAGTTCCAGGTTCACTGAGACACTCTATCTCAATAAAATAAAATATGGAGTGATAAAGAAGTCTCACATCCTGTTCTGACTTCTTTATGTACACACACAATCACACATACACATGAACTACTATTTTATCCACGTGTACACGTACATACACATGAACTACTACTTTATCCCTCAACATTCTAAGCATTTAAGCTGTTTCATAGACTCTTTATAACCTCATGAGTGCTAGTACAACGCCTAGTACAATAGTCCCTGTTGTATAGGACAGATAAAGGACACGCCTTCATTTATCCCACTTCTACAGCCACTAGCATGCCTCATACCAGTACTTCTTTTCCACCTGGCGAGTTCTAAACAGCTCCTGGACTTGATGTGCCATATCCTTCTCCCAAGCCAGAACCATAACACCTGTAGTTTCTTTGTCCAGACGGTGACACAGATGCAAAGGCTCTGCCTTGTGGCCATGAAGCATCTTTGCTAGGGTGGGCAGTACATCACTGATGCAGAGTTGGACTCCAGGGCCACCTGTGAAGGAAAGAGCCAGAGGCTAGAGTTTTAACAGAGGAACTCGAGAGAATAATCCTTACTGCACAAGTTGTCCCCATTTCCTACAATTGTGCTATGAACATATGGCAGGGATTACAATATTAATAGGCCCAGGGATCTTACTAGCTATGAGATGAACCACAGGTCCCAATGCAGACTACTAAGTCAGAACTCAAATTTTTATCAAACATCCCCAGACTCACCAGTGACTAAAGTCTGGGAAATACTGTGGCTTTCTCTTTCCATTTTGTGGGACTGAGAAGCTCTGAGACATTAAAGAGGAGAGGTTAAGGTGCAGGGCTCTGAGTCTGAGATCAGACACTCCTAGATTTTACTCTGTAGTCTCCATTTGGCCTTAGACAGATCACTATCTCTCCAACTCTGCTTTGTTATCTAAAAACATATATAAATATCTAAAAACAAAAATTAACCCCAGTAACCAAAAACCTCATCAGAGAATAGTAAGGCAAGAACCTGTTAGGAAATTAAGAAAGAGAGGGGGAAAAAAAAAAAACTCACAGAACACATTTGACAATGCCTATTTTATTTCTCTGTACTGCCACCAAAGGAGCTATTTACTCCACCTAAAATATTTTTAGCTAAAGTATTTACTTCCCCCTTGCAAGTCTTTGATATGTTCTTTTCTTCTTCCTCTCTCTCTCTCTCTCTCTCTCCCTCTCTCTCAATTCTGATTCACATCAGTTGTCCCCCTTTTTTTAACTTCATTCAGCAGAATCAGGACATCCATTGATTTCCAGACTCTTTGGGGCTTCATGTTAGGTATAGTCCAATACACAAACGCAGCACCCCTCCCCCACCCCTCTTATTTCCTCTTTCCCAGCCACCCCCTTCCCAACCTCTTTCATTTTGAAATGAGGTTTTGAGGTTGCTGAGACTGCTCTGAATACCTGATCATCCTGCCCCAGCCTCTTCTAGACCTTGGATGACAGTGGCATACAGGCACCCAGTCCTCTTCCCCCCCACACACACCGTTTTGATGGAAAATAACTATTATTAGACTGTCAGCACACAGCTTTTGTATTTCTCTGCAACAATCTGTGTGGGAGGCTGCATACAGCCCACAGTCAGAATTCAGCTTTTGTATTTCTCTGCAATAATCCCCGTGGGGGGCTGCTTATAGCCCACTGTCAAGATATTTGGAAGTGGGAACTCGACACTGGTTTGTCTTACCAGTAATCATATATATATACAATCGTAACTGTATACTATACGAAGGTCAAACTTGAATTCAAGAGTGTCTCACATATAATATGGCTTCAGAGGTGCCCCTAGATTGTAAAAGGAAGCAGCAGCAGGTTCCTTTCCCTTCCCCTCGTCTTTCTTACCGTGGACAGGGAGACCATACGGTTTATTAATGACCACAAGATCCTTGTCCTGGTGGAGAATCCCTCGGCTCAGTTCCTTAGCAAGCACATTGGGGTGAACTCGCTGTAGTTGCTGTGTGAATCGCACTAGTTCTTGCACCCTCCGATGAACACGGTTTGTAGGGATCTAAGGAGAAGGGTGGCGACAACTTAATGAGGAACTGAAGTGTTGGGGGTGGCCTTGAGTAAGATGTAGATGAAAATTCGTGCGGGGAATGACTGTGTTGGAGAATTAGACTCATGCCTTCCTTTGGGACCATACATAGGTATTTATCTCACATACATACCCACGCGGTGTTTGGGTCTGAGTCTGGCAGTAGTAAAAGTGCCCACGGACACACTGTGCCAGTACTGTCCTTTTTTTCTCAGCGGTATTCCGACTATTACACAGTAAATCCTCACCAGTTGCTGTTACAGACACTGCCTACCGCACCCCACACCTGGGAAAGCCGTGACAGCATTGCCTATTGGGTGTTGTGGTCTTTCCAGGCTCACCGGCATTTTTTTCTTTTGCTCTTTCTTCTGGGCTCGGAGCTTCTCCGCCAATCTCTGAGCATTCAGAGGCCTGGAGGTAGTAGCGCTGGAACAAACCGGCTTGGATCCGGGAGCGAACAGTCTCCCGGGACGCAACTTGCTAATGAGCAGCCGGAGACCAGGCGTACTCAACCTGGGCGCCGCCATCTTGCCGAGGGCGGGGCCAGACAGCACCACGCGAAGGAAAGCGACCCGAGGTCGGGGGCGGAGGGCGGGCCCTGTAGGTCACGTGGGCGGACAGCCTGCAGGTCACGTGGGCGGTGCGCGCTCAGTGCGGCTGCGCTGGCCGGTAGCTGCAGCTGGAGCGGTGGCGTTTGGAGCAGACGCGGTGAGTGTGTGGGGAAGCCAGCCTGGGGCTGGGAAATGCCGGTGCCTCAACGGTTTTCGCGTGGCCGGGATCTCTGTTCTTGGACAGCACTGCCCTGGGAACCGTGTCCCGCTTGGGGACACGACTCCACTGAAAAACTCTCCCCCGCCCCCGCGCCCTTTAGAAGCGAAGCTGGACAGACGCTGGCTGCTCAGCCTTCATCCGCACCTGTCTCACCCTCTTAGCAACCACGTCTTCTGCGGGTCCTCGGAAGGACGTGTCGTGTCCCCTTTCATTTTGTTGCCCTTCGCCCTCCGGAGATAACCGGATATTTCCTATTCCAATCTCTCACTTTGCGGCTGCCTACCCCTTTGTTTCGCGTTGTTTGTAACCAGTCCCTTCTCCCGAGGATGACGCTTCTTTTCCTTCATCCAGGACCCCTACCCTATATGACCTATCTCGAGAGCACCGTGGGTTTTTTTCTGGTCTTCCACAGCTGTTCGTTTCTTGAGGTCTCCTCTCCCTTCTGTACTCTTCCCAAAGAAAGGGCAGAACGTACAGAGCACAGACCGTTTCCCTTTTGCCTCTTTTAGTTTTTTTCTTCCATAACTTGAAACTGCCCAACCCTCTTTCCCTTCCCTACAAGGGAAACCTCAAACTATGGCTGCCCTCTATCACCAAAGGGCAGCTGGGAATATGTATAGCTGTTTGCAATGATAATTCCGACAACACCTTGGGATGCGCATGCCATTTGCTGGGGAAGCTGATGCTAAAAAGATGTCATGAAAACTAGTGACTCTTCTCTGTCGATGGAGGGATTACACTCCAGTTGGAGAATAAGTAATTGAATTAGGCTTGGGTACTTCCCCCCAAAAAAAGGATCAGCAGAGGGAGATCACATTACCTGTGAAACCTTTGAACAGGTGGATAGCCTACAGAAGACTAAAAGTTGAAGAAGAGTTTAAACCTAGGTAGTTGAGAGTCTTTGAAACTACGTCTTCTTTTGTTTTGCTTTGTTTTTTTTTTTGTTTTTTTTTTTTATTTTTATATTTTTCTAGACAGTTTCTCTGGCTCTGACGGCTGTCCTGGAACTAGTTCTTGAAGACCAGGTTGGTCTCGAATTCTGCCTCCTGAGTGCTGGGATTTAAGGCGTGTGCCACCAGGCTGAGATTCTTTGAAACTTCTTATACCTTGTAAGTGGAATTGCAGATAGGAATCTGATAAAGCAATGCAGAACAGATCGAAAAGAAAGGATTTGTAGGCAGGAACTCAACTAGGCTACTGCAAAGTAGGTGACCATTTATGAGGACATGTCCCATTCCGTGATCTTTTCCCCTTGTTCAGTATTGTCCTTGGGTTGTGAATTACCCTTTATGCAGTCAAGTTGTATGGTTAGGAGCTGTTGAAAATTCCTTGAGGAGGACTCCCCCGCCCCCAATCCCCAAGCCTGTTAATACAGTAAGAACACAAATATTTATGGGTCTGCAGTGTTTCTGAGTTGTATTAGGGTTTTTGTCTGTCTGTTGATTTGTTTTAAGGGTCTCAAATTGTAGACCAGGCTAGCCTTGAATTCACAGAGCTTTGTTTGCTTCTGCTTCCCTAGTGCTAGGATTGAAGACTATACTATACCTCCACACCCAGCCTGTTTCTTAGTATTTTAGATGATTTTACTTGTCAATGTAAGCAGAGAATGATGGAAAGAAGACTTGTCTATATTTCTTTAATAAGTGGTCTAGATAAAGAGTTCCCCTGGGAACAGTTTGGAAAACAATTTCTTCTATTATTGGTTCTGTCCCCTCTCAACAATAAATTCACAAGTAAAACACCTATAAAAGTTGAGAAATTCCACTCTAAAAGAATTATTACCCTTTCTGATGAGCTCTATTTGCATGTTCTAATGTCAATAAACTGTTGATCATCACTTGTTAGTCATAGGAAGTCTTTTCCTAAGACATGAGCATCAGGACTTAAATTTAATTACACACTGAATTTAATTACACACCGAAACCAGGTATAGGACCTTTATGGTTTGCAGGAAGGTATGGAAACCCCTGTTTATAAATTTAACTTGTCTGCACTCTTCAAAATTAATTCCTGTTTTTACATACAGCATTGGCCTTATGGTAGGAAATAAAGTGAAGAAGCAACTCAGGTGTCATTGCTAGTGACACAAAGCTGTGTTTCGGTTAATGCAAGGCACACACTGTAATGCCTGAGAATAAAGATGCCAGTCAATTTTCTTAATGCTTCTCCCGTAAATATTGGCATTTCCCAATTTCAAATAGAGTTACAGCTGGATATGGCGCTGCGTGCATTTAGTTCCAGCCTTCAAAAGGTAGATGCAGGGGGATCTCTGTGAATTTGAAGCCAGCCTGAACTACATAGCAAGTTCCACTACAGCCAGGGCTACACAGAGAGACTCTGTCTCAAAAAAAAACAAACAAACAAACAAACAAAAACCAGAGTTATGTTTATAAACAATTTGTGCATGTGCATCCTCCTTTCCTTCAAATGTGTATTGCCTTCTTCTCTATTCAGTCAGAGCCATTTTCAGGCATTCTCTTTACTACTTCCTCACCAACTTCATGTTGTATTGTCTTTTTGATTAGAAACACCTCTTGTCCAAAGGTTTTCTCAGTCCACCGAAGGAGGAAGGAAATAGAAGGACATTCTATTTCTGGGTCATCATTTTTACAGAGTACAGATCTATTCAAACATGACTTATTTATTTAACTATAATATAAGGAACTTGATGTTGGCTTGTAAAGGTGCTTGCCACCAAGCCTGATGACCTGAGTCCCACATAGAAGGAGTAGAACTGACTTCTCACAGCTTGTCCTTTTACCTCATGAGTGTGTGTGCACTTCAGCACACACACTTTTTAAAACACAATTTTTAAAACCACATGATCTTTAAAAAGAAGTTTTTAAAGATGTCTGTTCTACAGAAAAGCAAAAAGGCTCCTTTAATAGTTCATAAATACAGACAATAACTAATTAATAAGAAACCTTAAGCACCATACATGGAAGATTGATTGGTTCAAAGAATGCTAAGTTTTGTTTCCTGAAACAAAGATTTGCCAGTTGCAGATTAACCAGGGATCCCACTTGCCTGAAGAGCAGGAGGTACTTGGACATTGTTTTATGATTTCAGGGAGATTAAGACAAGCAATTGGTAAGGACTTACTAGTGGTTTCCTGGAAAGTGTGGTCTCAGGATCCAGGTGATTTGGGAACCAGTCCCAGTTTAGTTGCTATGAACTTGACAGGTAATTTGGGTTTTGATTTTTCATCATTTAGCAGTTGATCCTTTTTATACAACTCTGAGTATCTGTTCTGTGAAGATTTTCAAAGGGCACCCCAGAGCCTCTTTTGTCCTTAACAAGTGAAATTTATTTCAGACTTACCTTGAACTGGGCTAGATTCTTTAGCACCTGAACAAAAGATCTAGATTATGTTCCCACCCCAGTTTCATTCTACTGAACTGATGTTTGTATTTGGAGTTTACCCAATTGAATGGTATTGGGGTGATCCTTAAGACTTCCTAAATGTGGGTTGGTAAGATGGCACAGCACATAGAGGGGGTTGCTTCAAACACCTGGACCCCCAAAAGGTGGAAGTAGGAAACCTATTCCACAAAGTTGCCTTTTGACTCCATTGCTTGCTGTGGTACATATGGCCCCTCCACCCTAGATAAATAATGAAAAAGAAAAAAGAAGGAAGGCCTTTCCTAGACCTAGGTGTGGTAACACACAGCAGGCAGAGAGAGGTAGGTGTATTTCTGTGAGTTTGGGGCCAACCTAGTTGGTCTACACAGTGAACTCCAAGCTAGCTAGGGCTGCAGAGTGGGACCCTGTTTTTTTTGTTTTTGTTATTTAAAGAAGAAAATCCTATAACCTTATAATGTAGGTTGTGGATAGTAATTATTTTTTTCCAAACTACCTTACTTTTTTTTTATTTTTGAGACAGGATACTTACAACTATGAAGCCCATGCTATCCTAGAACTCACTGAATCACCCAACTAGCCTTCAACTCTTGTCTTCCTGAATCAGTCATTTCCTGAATGCCAGGATTATAGACCTGCTGCCACACCCAACCTCACACAGGCATTTCCAAGAAGTGCCTTTGTTGTGTTACCTCATACTTTTATCTACTTTTTGACCAATGATCCAAAAGGTGTAGCTTAATCTAGTGCTTCCTGGACTCTGGTGTTTGGTGAAGCATGGAAATAGTAGCTGTGTCACTAGAGAATGCTGGAAGTATACCATATGTGGCTACTGACCTAGTTCTGTCTGTCCACAGTCTCCAACCTGGTAGCACCAAAAGACTGAGGAGATAAAATACCCTACCCTGAGATATGTCTGACTACTTTGTACATTCAAGGTCCTTACTGGAAACTGACTAGGAAGAGTAGCCTTGCCATCAATATCAGTTTTTCTCAACTTGGCCTCTTGTTTGTCATGCTTAAGCCTCTATTACTCTTGGCTAGTTTTTACTTACAGGTCATCTTGTTTTAGTAAAGCAGCTTTCTAAAAGTGTATGCATAGCAGTAACCAACAAAGAGATGAAAAGTGTTTTTTACTGTTGTGTTTGACCTTGTGAGACTGTGGGCAGTCTTGATCTGCCTATTTAGAAAAAGTAAAGGCTACCTAGAACCAAAGATGACATACTAGGAATGGATGTTTGTTTAAATAATTTTATTTTATGCTGTCTATTATAAGAGTAATAGTTATGTCATAAAAAGTACAAAAGTTAGATCAGGGGAACATTCATAGTTCTCCTTTCAACCCATTAATGTCATGGCTTTTCTCTAGCTTTTTATATACTTTTTTTTTTTCTTTGTTGTGTTTTTGTTTTTTGAGACAGGGTTTCTTTGTATTGCTTT